CAGCAAGAATGCGTCTTTTATTTTTCAACTCGAACTCACTTCCAACACGGATCAACATCAGTCAGCCAGAACCCATCGAAGTTACATAGCTGCTGTTCAGTATTTTAAACATTCCTGGCTAATATAGCCACGCCTACTGTACATTTCACAACCAATAAGGTTGAACCTATAAAGGCCAATCACGAACGTTCCCGCTCAGGGAGCTTCTTCATGGTGATTGGATATTGCTTCCTGGGCTAGTGTTCCTATTGGTTACATTAGGATCCTAGCCCAGGACGAAGCTTAACATGAGATGGCAATGGAATGATTCATGTTACATTCAGTACATGCATTCAAGTCAATTAGAATACATTACATTATCACTATTTCATTTAGAAGCAGGAAGTAGTTAATAGAAATGCATTAGGGCCTGCATTATAAACAAAAGTTCAAGATATAATTTAAAAGCCACTGATTCTAGGGACGAGTTCAGGAACCGATTAGCTGGCAGCATGTAAAATATAAGGACAGCTGAAGGTTCCTTCACACATTACATTTTATAAGTGCAAACACAAATAAGTTTCCCCCCCGCCCTTAAATGCAGCCTGAAAAACATAGGCATTTCCACATTCTCATTTTCCTGGCTTGTAAGCTTTGCTCCCTCTAGTGGCTGATTTGATATTACACCGGTTTATGTCCTGCATATCTCCCTGCAGATTTAAACTGCAGGTTTTTATGTCGGACATAAACCAGTGTAATATTGAATTGACCACCGGAGGAAGCCAACATGTGCAGAACAGAAAAAAAAACCCCAAAGAAACAGTAACTTGCAAGCCATGAAAATTAGAACACAGAAGAACCTGTCATGTTAATGGATCAAATATTTTGGAATGCATGTACCTCTCATCAGAGAGCTGCAAGATGCAATGTGGAATCATTGCATCTTACTCTGAATCAGGCCCTATAGTATGTATCAAAAATCCACACATGCCCTAACTTGGATAGCCAAGCAAGCCCAGTCTCCTTGGATCTTGGAAGCTAAACAGGGCTGACCCTGGCCGGTATATGGATGGGAGGTACATGCATTCCAAAATATTTGATCCATTAACATGACAGGTTGCCCCTGGCCGGTATATGGATGGGAGGTACATGCATTCCAAAATATTTGATCCATTAACATGACAGGTTGCCCCTGGCCGGTATATGGATGGGAGGTACATGCATTCCAAAATATTTGATCCATTAACATGACAGGTTGCCCCTGGCCGGTATATGGATGGGAGGTACATGCATTCCAAAATATTTGATCCATTAACATGACAGGTTGCCCCTGGCCGGTATATGGATGGGAGGTACATGCATTCCAAAATATTTGATCCATTAACATGACAGGTTGCCCCTGGCCGGTATATGGATGGGAGGTACATGCATTCCAAAATATTTGATCCATTAACATGACAGGTTGCCCCTGGCCGGTATATGGATGGGAGGTACATGCATTCCAAAATATTTGATCCATTAACATGACAGGTTGCCCCTGGCCGGTATATGGATGGGAGGTACATGCATTCCAAAATATTTGATCCATTAACATGACAGGTTGCCCCTGGCCGGTATATGGATGGGAGGTACATGCATTCCAAAATATTTGATCCATTAACATGACAGGTTGCCCCTGGCCGGTATATGGATGGGAGACCTCCAGAGAATACCAGGGTCAGGAGGCCAGAGTCAGGCTAACTGAATTTAAGACAATAAAATAAAACTCTATAAAAATACAGCTGTGCATAATAAAATAAAGGGAAAACATAAAATAGAGACCATTAGGCAACTGTTGTTATATATTTGATCGTATATTTCGAATGCAGTAGCACGCTACCCAAAATTTTGCCATCGTTTCAGTACTTGTCTGGTTCCCATCAATTAACGCTGCTCAGCACCTGTTTGTCCCACCATATCTGTTATGAGAGAAGTAATATATTTGTCACGGATCTTGTTATACCAGTTACATCTGAGCATCATGTGCTCAATAGTTTCTATCTCTCCTGAGCCACATGGACAAAATCTAAATTCAGTAGGGATCTTTTTGAATCTGCCCTCAAGCATCGCGGAGGGGAAAGCCTCACATCTGGCTAATGTGAGTGCTTTCCTAAACTTGTGAACATCGAGCTGCGATAAATAGGACATGGGTTGCAAGCGATATTTGACAAAATCCGGGGCTCTAACCTTAGGACATCTATCGAGATTTGCCTGCCTCTCCGTGTCCATCATTCTCTTTTAGGGCTGATTTCGCTACATCCCAACGCATACTCGAAATCGCTTGGGGGGGGGGAGCCAAAAGTATGTAGTTTATTCTGAACTGCTCTCAGCCATTTGGATTGAAAGTTGTCTGAGAGTAACAAGTGGGTTAGTCCCTGAGGGCGGAAATTGAGTTTAAGCCAACACTGGAGCGAAGCGAAAGAAATTTTGGCTTCCATCGATATAACACCTGTCTCTAGATGGATCGGTGTATCTGATACACACCATCCTCTGAATGTCCTCTGTGTGCCAGTAGGAGTTGCCAGAGGTCGCCATGGCTTCTGGGCACAGGTGCGCACACACAAATGCAAAAACATATTTAAAAAATCTACACAATGGGGCCAGGGACAGACAGGGAGCTTTAAAAACAAACAAAGAAAGCAGATGCTCTACCCCTGAGCCACACCTCCTCCCCAAATAGCACCCTGTGGGTTTTGGATTGTCTATCAAAGTAACTTTGTTCCTGTCACTGCTTCCAGTATTCCAGCCAATTAGTGCAAAAGTATTGGTATGATTGACAGGAAAAGGAAGCAATGATGTCATGCCTCATCACACTCCATTGAGTGTATTGACCTATAAAGGAGAAGGGGGCATATATCCATACAGCCTTTCCCTGTCAGTTATGGCAGTCATTTTGCTCCTACAAGATATGGCAGTATGAAGAATTGCAGGATATCCGAAAGCAGTGTCTTACCACATTCGGGAGATAGGTTACATTTGAAAATATTCCAGATGACCAGTTTAGCAGTAAACATGATAACACTTTTGAATAATAAGGCTTCAGTTACTCCGAAAGGCTAGGGCTGGAAATTTGTACTTTGTGTAACCCTGTCTGTTCATACGTATGTCCTTGGACTGTCCTTTTATCAACTTCTTCCCTCGAAAACATATTTTCTGTTAAGTCCAAATCAATTCCAGTCACTGGCCGTCTTTGCTTCCCTTACAAGTATTGTGTGTACTCTCCTCTGACTTAACAGAACAACACATTTCCTAGAAGAGTGAATGAACGGCTTTGCCGTAGGAAAAGAAAGAGGATCCAAAATAGTTCTGATGATCCATTTTATTGGTCTAAGTTGATAGGAAGACATTTCTTAAAAGTTGCAGAGTTGCCTAGAAGAGAGGGGATGGGAGTGTTATGGGAGAACATTTTTTTTTTAAAAAAAGAATCATTAGAAACTTTGGGGTCCTATTTCTTATGCTGGTCGTGAAAGGTTTTGGAGAATTTAGTGTTGCCAGGCATTTAGGGTTACACAGATCCAGACCAATCACATGAATTTGTTGGTGCAAGCAGAATTCCTGATGGCTGGAGTCCACAACACAATGTAGTAACATCCAAGCTCTTTGTGGCTGGGAAAACATCTCCTCCTCTACCTTACGATGAGAAAAATGGGGTCCCAGTCATTGGAGTTGAGGTGGGATTGAGTTTGCCTAGCCTTAATATTCACACACTTAACGCCCCCGGAGACCGAAGTTATCTTAGTCACCCCTGCAGATTCTGTGTATGAGAAAATACACATGATCCATTCCTTGCTTACCACAGGATGTGTATTTACCAACTTGGTAAATGGCTTGTCTCCATCATCCTGCCACAGGGAGGAGAAGTTTTATTATGTCCCTAGATTTCTGAGCAGGTTCTAAAAGGTAGATAAAATTTTCCTTGAACATTGGCAGTGTGATGCATACAGCTTAGGTTACACATGTCCGCATGCTATAATAAGCGACCACCCCAACTGTCAGTATCCACCTGATATCCCAGTGTGTCCAAAATCCCTTGGTTGGCCAAGTTAAGGATTATACTGATTACTGCCTGACCTCCCTCAATAACCCAATGTCAGGTTTTATGACCATATATCAAATTCACAGAAATCAGCTCCTCACAATACAGCTAGTTATAATGTATCCCTTTCAAACGTAGCTGTTTTCATTTTCCAAGAAGGATGAGTAATTTATTTTTATCCATTAGCTACACATTGAGAAGGGGTATTGGGACGTGGGAATTATTAATCACTATATGATCATAATCACTGTATGTTCTCTTTAGCAATGGTAACCGGTTGTCTTGTACCATTCCCCTTGAGTAAATATATATATGTGTGTGTGTGTGTGTGTGTGTGTACGCGTGTATCATACCATAAACAATGGAACGTATGCTCATAGGGGGCCCATTAATAAACCTTTTTTTAAAAAAAAGAAAAACTGGCGTTAAGGGGGACAGAGGCCATTAAATACAAGAAGAGAGTGTTTATCAAGCAACTCTTCCTTGGAAACCATTTCCCTTTTCACCAATCACAATGTTGTTGTGTTGTTGTTTTTTTGGTCAACCTCTAATATAAAGCAAAAAATCAAAACTTTTCCAGAGGCTTCATAGATTTTCTTTCTCCTAACACAAGATAACAAATGATTTAATAAAAGGCCTGGAAGTCAATGACATAACATCTGCCATAGTTTATTATTTAGATTTTAAAAATACCTAAAAAAATTTTTGTGCGTGTGTTGAAGTCCTGGTCAGATTTGAAACTCCCCATTAAAATGGCTTGTAGGGTTTTTTTGGGTTTTTTTAAACATACATTTTTGACTAATGGGCCCCCTATAATAGAAAAAAGATTAAATGATTTCTTCAGTTTAGTAATTGAAAAACAGCATGATCTAATGGTGTTGTCTTCTTGGGGTCTTCTTTATTTAAAAATGTTGGGGTGTTTTTGTTTGTTTGTTTCATCGGACAGTATATTAATCAATCCTGGAAACCAAGTGAAGATTCAAGAGGGTACCTTAGGATTCTTCATTGCAAGCGACGCCAAAGAAGTAAAAAGGTAACTCTTTGCTAATGTTGGATTTAATCCACTAATTATGCCTTCTCCTCTATTTTGGTTGACCTGTTGTTGACTGTGTAACTTAAAGCTGTCCCGTATCGACCTTGCCAGCCAACGGTTAAAACATGGTTCAGAATGTTCTCCCAACTATATTTGTTTTGTGTGATGTGGGGAGGGGCAAACCCCCAGGGGAGTCTCTAGTGGAGAGTCCCTGTCATTCAGCACCATGTTTCCAGCCATGGTGAGCCAGGTGCTCCTGAGATGCCTACAGAAAGAGCATTTTGTTTATTTGTTTATGGCATAGATTCAAGGCATATTAAACAATCATTGGGATTCGAGGCATATGAAACACACAGCAAGTCAGTACGGTCAACAGGATGCAGCATCCTATAACACAATGCAATAGGGTTCGTATCGTAGAAATCTGGAACTGACCAGAAACAAAAAAAAACAAAAACAAAAAACCCACAGCAAACATAAGTATTAACACGACATATTAAACGATGCAAAAATTCATAGCAGGATCCCACTTACAGCAAACTATACACATTAGAATTGCCCAGTCCCTAATAATTTACCAAGTAGGGCCCCAGGCACATGGGCCGGATATTGCGGGGGGAGGCGTGGCTGATTGCCCCGCAGCGAAATAACGCGCGACTGTGCGATCAGGCGTCCCGTCGAGGTCCGGTGGTTAGGGGGGAGGTGCCGATCACACGACGCGCCAAAGAAGCGGCGCGGCATGGCAAACGGGGTTGTGTTTTGTTTTTTTGACCTGAAGTATGCGCATGCCCTGTTGGGTGCTTGTGCGCATCCCTGGAGACTTCGGGGGGGGGGCCCCCTTTGCCCAATGGGGCATGGGCGGGCGCCGGATGCCACCGGAAACACGATCAGACACCTGCCCTTGCCCCGCGGTTTCCGGAAACTAGTACCTCCGAGGTACTAGTTTTTAACCGCGCATCTTCGGGGGGAAGCCTTGGGTTCGCCACGGGAGCTCTACGCTTCCCAGATGTGGCGCCTATCTTCCGTCGCAGTAGCGTGGCTACTGCTCCGTGTGACCGCAGCCTAACTTTGTAAACCATTCTGTACAGTGCAGCCCCATTATTTGTTTAGGAAAGCACAGTTTGGGGAAAGCCAGGAGAGTGGAAGCCATCCTGACCTTCTCAGGCAGGCTGTTCCATAAGGAGAGGGGCCACCACGGAGAAGGCGTGTGTACGGGCATTTTGTCAATTTTGCCCATTTGCAGGTTGGCCCCTGCAGAAGACCCTGCTCGGATAAGAGGAGAGGCAGTCCCACAGATATGAGAGTCAAAGGCCATGAAGGGAGTTGTATATGAAAGCCAGTACCTTAAACCGAGCCCAGTAACTGACGGGCAGCTATTGGGGTCTGCAGAATGGGAGTGACATGCATGCTCCGTCTAACTCCTGTCCTCCATGTCCTCCAGCTTTTTGCATTCCTCTGTTCAGCCACTCATTGCCTCTGGACATGGAGGTCCGGTTTAGCTATCAAGAATGATACACCATCAATCCGCTTCACCCTTTTTAAAAGCTGGCTCAGGCAAACGTCCCCCGACCTTTTTTGGCCTGTGGGCACCTTTGGAATTTTGACAAAGCAGGGGTGGGCACAGCCACAAAATGGCTGCCCCAGGAGGTGGAGCCAGCCACAAGAGGGCCACTGCCACAAGGTACCTTCAGTTTTTTACGGTGCATCTTTAGTGGGAAGCCTCGGGTTAGCCACGGGAGCTCTACGCTTCCCAGATGTTGTGGTTTGATCGCACCCGGAAAATCCGCCTATCTCCCGTCTCTGTAGCGTGGCTAATGCTCTGTGTGACCGCAGCCTGAGTTTGTGTGCGAGGGGGAAACGTCAAAACCCTCGCCCCTACCTCCAGACTGATTCCCCAGCTTGTTCTCTCTACTAGCACACATCTTGGTTGAGTGCCTGTCATGAAAGAAGTAGCCCTGCTTACAAGGTCAGGGGTTTCTTTTGGGTCTTCCCCGGGCATAGAGAAATATTTTGCAAATGAAGGGGGGGAACATCCCTCCCCCACAACAGCCTGACAAGGTCTCACTGTGGTCACCGCCCTCAGAATACTGGGAACAGCAGAGAGCTAGTTGAAAACAGTGCTTCAACTTACACAGGAGATTCTTTGAAGCCAGAGCAAGATTTGCAAGCACCAAGTCCTGGAGTCGCAGGAATAATTACGAGTGCCCTGCATTTATGTCATGACAACGTCTAAATTCCCCCAGAACATTAAGCTAAGTGAAACTAAGTGGAACGAATGGCCTTCTATGTCTTCAGCTGTCCGTTTCTCCAAAATCAAGGGGGCTTTGAGCCAGCAATTCTCCTGCCAAGCCAAGAGTTCTTCATCACTTTTGTGTTTGGATAATAAAGTCACTTTGGATGCTACTTCCCCGAGATGAAAGCGGAATGATCTGATCCGCCGTGTCGTATTTATTAACCGTTCCCCCAATTATTTTCGAGTTAAATTTATTAAAAGAAGCACGGACCTAAATCACCCAGCCTTGTGTTTGAAATTAATTGTCTCGTAGCAAACATTTCCTTCTTTAAATGTCTAAACCTTTCAAAAGATTAAAGGAAATTAGGGCTGGCATGTTTCATTAACTTGGCACTTGTAGCAAGGAAGGAAATGTGGGACTAATTTCATTTGTATGGATTAAGAAATGTGTCAGTTTTTCCATTCTCTCTCCCTCTCCAGGGCATTTTTTTACTGCAAGGCCTGTCATGATGACATCACAGATCCCAAAAGGATAAAAAAGTGTGGCTGCAAACGACGTAAGTCCTATCGAACACCCCCTCCACTGTGAAAGAGCTGTTCAGCCTTAAGGTTTTTGCACAGTTGTAGAGAGAGACTAGGCAACCTGTACATACCAACCTGGCCAATAAGAGTCGCTGGTAATAGTGACGTACGCATATTTTAAAAATTCACTTTTGAATGTTTCGTTTGCACTTTCACCATTGTTCGGGGCCTGAGTGAACAAAGTTCCGATAATTGTTGCATTATATTTTTGAAGGTAGCCATGTTTGTCGGCAGCAGAAGAACTTGATTTCAGCCCTATAGCACCTTGGAGACCAATTTTTGGGGTATAAGATTTCTACAGTCAAAACTCCCTTTGTCAGACAGCAAAGCGAGCTTTGGGCTCTCCAAATCTCATACCCTGAAAATCTTGCAGACAACGAACGGAGCTCATACTCCTCTAATGTCATTGCTACGTGGTTTTCCAATGTTAAACTAGTCGATGCAACAAGAGGTGATTCCGAGTGCAATTGACTCTCTGCAGCGATGATAAAGAGTACAGATGTTCATTTACGCTGTATATGTTCTTTCTATATTGTCCTATTATGTATTCTCAGATCTGTTTTACGATTACAAAACTTAATAAAAGTGTTTATTTTATCTTTAAAACCCTCATACCCCCCAAAGTCTTGCAGCTCGAAAGTTCATACCCTCAAAATTTTGCAGACGACAAAGGGAACTGTGACAATCACAGGATCATACCCCCAAAATCTTGCTCGTCTCGAAGGTGCTAGTGGACTTGAAATGGCTCTATCGTATTACATCTACATAATAAAAATGCTGGCGTTTAATATATTTAATGGTTCCACCTCCCCCTACCCTTCATAGACAAATAATTTAGCAAAGTTGAAACAGACCCCACCCAGAGTTACACTGTGTGAAAATCCATTAATTTGCCTTTGTCTCTACTGCCAAAGACAAAAGGGGGGGGGTCAGTCTCACAAGTTCCCAAGGCAGAATTCTGCCGTCAGCTTGTCAGTGGCGGTAGCCATGAAACACGGGCATGTCCGAGGTGATGCAAAAGCTTTGCCTGAGCCGTGCTCCTCTCCAAATCCAGTGATTTATTCCTAAGCCTGAGTTTTCTATGAGTTTCTATTTTTATTTATTTATTTGTTTTGTTTAAATAAGAAACTTTAGTAGTCGTTAGTTTCCCAAGATTGCTGGTTATTTTTCCCACGACAGACTAGCACACTTACCTTTCTGGAATGAAATAAAGGAAGGGTGTTTTTTTGGGGTCAAACATACAGGCAAATTATATGTATAGGCTTTCCCCAAAATTGCTGGTTATTTTTCCCACGACAGACTAGCACCCTTTCTGGAATGAAACATATAGGCAAATTATATATATAGGCACATATATATATTGTCAAACATATAGGCAAATTTGTTCTTTTTTTTCTTGTGAACGCGTCCACTAAGACAAAGTTTAGGGAAGCTCCTTGCTCTGGCAGCAGGCCAGGGCCCTTCGTATAGTCTCTCTTGCTGCTGATACTCACATGCCCTGTGCCGCCCAAGCCAGTCACACCAGCTGCTCCAGGTCTTCACTGTGGTGGCCACAGCTCTTCCTGGTGCCGGGTGCTGAGGTTGTCATGTGCAGAGTGGTTTCACACGGACTTTCCCTTAAGTGCTGAAAATCCCCCGGAAGCCCTTCTGCCAGCAGTGTGTTACTCTGACGATGCTATTGTCAGGGACACAGTCATGCCCATGAGTGATCCTAGTGCGGGGGTCCCCAATGTGGTGCCTTTGGGTGCCATGTAGGCTTGCCAAGTGCCCCCAGGGAGCGGGGAATCCCCCGCCCCAGAGGCCCGTTCCCCGCCACCGGCGGATCAGGCCCCGGGGGGGAACCCCACCCCCAAAGCACGGGACGTGCCTGGTGTCAGCACGTCACCCGAACGTTACGCAGCCACACTGGGCATGCCGGGGGCGGGGCCACAATCATCCGAGGGAAAACTCTATGTTTTTTCCCTCGGATGACCGCAGCCCCGCCCCGGCACGCCCGGCGCGGCCGCATCACTTCTGGGTAACGTGCTTGCGGCGCGTGCGCGCTCCCGGAGTAAGCCGGGAGTCCCCGGCTGTGGCTTACAGTAGGACTTGGCAACCCTAGTGCCATGGTGCCCACCAGCACCTTTTCTAGCACCCACCAAGTGTTTTTTTTAGAAAGTGAATGGGGCCGGGTAGGCTTTTTGCCTTGCGAGGCTTCTGATTGGTTGTGTAGGGTTTTTTTAAATGTTGCTTTGGCAACAGCTGCCACCACGGCATAAGAAATCTTCACTGTGTGACTGACTGAAGCTAAACTGTGGGAACCAGGGCTTTTTTTCTTTTTTAAGGTGCCAGAACCCTCAAGAGGGAAATTAAGTTTTCAATCTGTATACTGAAAACTCATGGACTTTTCAGCATTTTAAAAAGAATTTTGTCAAAGAGGTTCCAGAACTCCATTTCGGTGCATTTCCCCCAGAAAAAAAAACGCCCTGGCGGGAACCATTTTAGACCTAAGCTCTGCCTCCTCTGGCAGCCATTTTGTAGCAGCCATTTTGTGACTGTGCCCGCCATTTTGTGACTGTGCCTGCCATGCTGTGTCAGAATCCCAAAGGTGTCCACAGGCTCAAAAACGTTGGCGACCCCTGCCCTAATGGCTGGAAATCCATGAGAATCAGCCATCTGTTTTAGTTGAAGCTCACTGAGCCCATCTTATGTGGCTCTTGGCCACCCAGTTTTATTTTGACTGCTGTGAGATGCCTGGGAAAGAAAATCATCTCACGATACATGGACGTTATGGGAAAGCACCCTTTGGGTGAACTCAGCTAGTATCTTTTGATCAGGACAATCTTGCAATAAGATACGGATCCTTGTACAGCTCCCGTGATTACATATTCTTACCAATGCGCCCCCTTCCTCATGCACACATGATGAAATGATCAGTGCTGACAGCAGAAGTTTTCATTTAAGTGGGATTCATGTTCTGTCTGAATTCCTGGTTCTGTTGAATTCCTGGTTCTACCATCTGCTCTAACAGAGTTAGTATAAACGCTGCTTTAGACAGTCAGAAGAATTTAATTGTAAAGCTTTTTCCTGGACTGGTCTGTTTTCCTGGGCTGCCCTTCTGCTTACGTGTTCAGATGCCTCCTGCAACAAAACTACAATGTCTCTGTACATAGAAAACTAGCTCTGCAGCATAACTTACTCCCAGATCTGCTACTTTCCCATGTGCCGGGCGTTGTTTTGTGGAGGGGAGAGAACTGCAGGCTGAAGTTGGAAAAGTCCAGGAAAGGCTTCAGTACTTGATACCACTGATTGTATAACCTGCCAGTTAGATTAACGCCATAGATCAGGGGGGGGCCCGACGTGGTGACCGTGGGTGCCCGCCAACACTTTCCCTGATGTCCACCAAGTGTTTTTTGGAAAGTGGGTGGAGCCAGGTGCCGCTTTTGCCCGGCAAGGCTTTTGATTGGCTGTGCAGGGTTTTAAACACATACACGATGCATTTATGTCACCATCCCTTCAGAAGTATAAGGAAGTACAGGCGCTTGGGGAATAGGGGAGCCGTCCAGCGAAGGGCAGGGGAGAAGGGGAGTTTGGGGTGGCGGCAAAGAAAGGCAGCGAAAGGACTGGAAACGAATCCTGTGGAGGGGCTTCCAGCAGAAGGTGAAATCCCGAAACACAGGAAAGACTCAGGAAGGCTGAACTGACGGCCCTTTGTCTCGGAGGAATAGTCGAGTGAGTACAAGGCCTCCATCACTCCAGCAAATGACAAAACGCTGGACAGGTGGTGGGATAACATGACGGATGACAAAGAAGGTAGACGTCAGTAGCGCTGCGCTAAGCATTAGATCACCCACACTGGTGTAACAGGCCGGATTCACCCCCCGGCCCGAGTAACCCCGGGGTTACTCTGGCCTTGCCTGGAGTAACCCCTGCCGGGCCAGGCCAGAGTAACGGGGGTGAATCCGGCCTGTAATGGTGGCTAGTTTCTCTTCTGAGGAGGGCTGTCCACCATTAGCGATGGTCCCACCACTGAGGATGGTCCCACTGAGGAACCCCTGTGTCCCACGGAACCAGGCAGGAAAACCACTGGTGTCCTCTTGCTGGTAATAAGTCTTGAATCCAGACATCCAAGAACTAGACAGAGATCTTTTCAGTCTTCAATACGCCTTCATCAGAGATGCTAGAGTCCAAACTTGGGACCGTCTCTTTCTACTATCGAGTTAACATTCGTAAGTTGGTAGGGGCCCTGAGAATTCTAGTGACCTCTGGTGAAGGTTCCAAATTCAGTGCTTTCCATGAGTAGATTTAGTGGGATTTAGTGGGATTTTAGTGGGATTTCTGAGTCTGTTGGGGCATAGAATTACCATAGAAGCATTTCTGCTCCCTTACCCCATGCCGGCCCACTTCCCTGCATGGGCAACTCCACTGTGGGACCACAACCAGGCAATTTGGAGTTGAAAAACAGAGCTGTGGACTGTACATTTGGACATGGACGGCACCCCTAACTTAGTGTTTGCCAGCTTTGTTTATGTCAGTGCTGAGAAGGACCGTTTTCTATTCCACCCACTCCCTTTGCTTTTGCTAATTAATGAGCACCGTAATAAAAACGAGGAGCAGTTGTGCCCGGGGGTGGGGGAGAATGTGCATAAGACAAAACAGAGGCATGAAGCCAAACCTGTGCGTCCAGGTGAATGAAACGGGAAAGAAATGTCTTCCTTGCAAGGAAATCTTAATTATGGTGGCATTAATTACATGCAGTTCCCTGGGACAGTTGAAAGCCATGTTCTTTAATAATGCATCTGAGGTTTCCCGTCCCTTCAGATGCTGTCTGAACATTAGCTTCAGTATTGTCAGGGTCTAAAAGTGAGCCTGACCCACATAGCTATTTGTCCAAACCTGTTAGGCCTAATATTAATAATTCAGCACGGAGCTCTGCAGCTTCACAGAGCCAGAGATAATTAGAGTAACCGTGCTTCCCTTTCACAGATTCGTCCCC